TCTAAGATATTTGTCACTTCATCACTGGCAGCTGTGTTTCAACTGATTAGTCTGTCAGCTCTGAAATTTCCTCTCTAAACCTCGGTCTTTCTTTCTCTCTCACGACAGTCCTATCTCTTTGACCAAGATTTCCTAATATCTAGTTGTGTGGCTCGGTGTCAAGTTTTGTTGATAACAATGAAACTTTATGAGGTATTTCTACCGCATGAAGAGAGCTACATAAATAAATATTGTTGTCCTCCCTCCATTCCAGCTGTCTCTTCCATTCAAGAACTACTGTTATTACTGACATGCTAAGGACCCCTTTTTTGAATGATGGAACGATGGAGATTTGCAGCACCAGAGGAGGCCCGTCATCTGTGGCATCTCTTAGCAAGAAAGCTAATTCCACTGATTTGTTCTTGCATCATGTGCTAGTATCCTGTTTCCAAATAATTACCCATATTTCCTTAAATTTTTTTTTGCCTCAAATCACTCCCTGCAGCAAAGTCATGCCGCAATGCTTTGTGTAACATTTTCTTCCTATCCGTGCCCCTGGCCTCCCCAACCAGGGAATAATCTTTCCTATTTTCATTAGTAATAATGCCTCGGGACTGTGCCTGAAGTCGGGGATTGTTTAAAAAAAAAATGCAGAACTAGAAAAGAGCAGCCAAGATCCAAGCTGGGGGGATGAGGGGCTTGGTAACCTAATTCAAAAAATACAATGCAATAACGTGGACGTGCACTCCCTCCATCACCAGTACACTATACCAGCAGTCCTACCATTGAAAGGAAGCACTATGCCATAGTGATACATTAAAGCTCCTTTGACATCAGATTCCAAACCTGTGACCTCCATCACTAAAAGGGTAGCAGATGCATGGGAATATCGCCACCTGCAGGTTCCTTTCCAAATCACACACCATCGTGACTTGGAAATATAACCGCTGTTCCTTCTGTCTCTGGGACAAAATCCTGAAACTCACCCCCTCACAGCATTGTGGATGCACTGGCATCAGCAGTTCAAGAAGGCAGCTTTATTTTGAATTCACTCTTGGGATGTGGGCATCGCTGGCTGACCAGCATTTATTGCCTGTCCCTAGTTGCCCTTGAGGACGTAGTGGTGAGCTGCCTTCTTGAACCGCTGCAGTCCATCTGCTGTAGGTAGACCTACAATGCCCTTAGGCAGGAAATTCCAGGATTTCGACTCAGCGAGTGATAGAACGGTGACATATTTCCAAGTCAGGATGCTGAGTGGCTCGGAGGGGAATTTGCAGGTACTCTTGTTCCCATGTATCTGCTGCCTTTGTCCCTCTAGATAGAAGAGGTTGTGGGTTTGGAAGGTGCTGTCTAAGAATCTTTGGTGAATTTCTGATAGCATCTTGTAGTTAGTACGCACTGGCACTACTGAGCGTTGATGAAGGGAGTGGATGCTTTGGGATGTGCTGCTTTGTCCTGGATGTTGTCAAGCTTCAAGGTGCACCCATCCAGTCAAGCAAGGAATATTTCATCAAACTGTTGACTTGTGCCTTGTAAATGGTGGACAGGCTCTGGGGAGTCAGGAAGTGAGTTACTCACCAAAATATTCCTAGCCTCTGACCTGCTCTTGTAGCCACTGTGTTTATTTGTTGAGTCCAGGCTCAAGGATATTTAAGGATGAGCAACAAATGCTGACCTTGTCAGTGATGCTCACACCCTATGTAAGAATAACATAGAAACAGAAGATAGGAGCAGGAGGAGGCCATTCAGCCTTCAAGCCTGCTCTGCCATTCTTCATGATCATGGCTGATCGTCCAACTCAAAAGCCGAATCCTGCTTTCTCTCCATAAACTTTGATCTCATTCATCCCAAGTGCTATATCTAGTTGCCTCTTGAATACATTCAATGTTTTGGCACCAACTACCTCCTATGGTAATGAATTCCACAGGCTCACCACCCTTTGGTTGAAGAAATGTCTCCTCAACTCTGACCTAAATCGTCTACTCTGAATCCTCATACTGTGAACCCTGGTTCTGGACCGACCCACCCATCGGGATCATCCTCCCTGCATCTACCCTGTCCAGTCCTGTTAGAATTTTATAAGTCTCTATGAGATCCTCCACCGCCCCCGCACACCCTCCACCATTCGTGTGAACTCCAGTGAAAACAATGCCAACCTAGTCAAAATCTCCTAATACGTCAGACCCACCAACCCCAGAATCAGTCTGGTAAACAAAGATATTACGTGTGCTTTACTGTAGTGAAATATCCAAGCACCTCACAGGAGTGTTATTAAACTCAAATTGACATTGCGTTAAATAAAGAAATGATAGGCAAACAAAAACTGGTCAAAAAGGTAGATTGGAAGGACCAATTCAAAGGAGTGGGTAATTTTGGAGCTTCGAGCCCAGGCAGCTGAATGCTGGAGTGATTAGACGTAAAGATGCCTATGAGGCCAGAACTGCAGCTGTGCAAAGTCTTGAAGAATTGTTGGGCTTTAGGAAATCTTAGAGATATGGAGGGGAGAAGTTATGGGTTGAAAAGAAAGATGAGAACTTTGAAATTGAGGTAATGTTGGACCAAAAGCCAGTGTTAGTCAGCACACACAGGGTCAATGACAAACAATACTTAGGCAATTTGGGACACAGACTGTAGATCTTGGATGTTTATGAAAGGTAGAAAACGGGAGGCTGGCCTGGAGTTTACTGGAACAATCAAGTCTGGAGGTTACAAAAGCACAGACAACAGTTTCAACTGTGAATGAGCTGAGCAGGGTCAGAAAGGTGGAAGGAGATAATCTTGGTTATGGATTGGATAGGTGTCCAGAGGCTGACCTCAGAGCAAATATTTCACCAAGGTGGTGACCAATTTGGTTCAGCCTCTGAAAGTTCAGGGAGCAGGAGGGTTTCTGTTGGCAATAAAAAGTGAGTGGCTTTGATCTTCTGAATGATCTTTTGGAAGCACAGTGGCTCAGTGGTTAGCACTGCTGCCTTGCAGCACCAGGGACCGGTGTTCAATTCCACCCTTGGGCAACTGTGTGGAGTTTGTATATTCTCCCTGTGACTGTGTGGGTTTCCTCCGGGTGCTCCAGTTTCATCCCACGGTCCAAAGATGTGCAGGTTGGGGTGGATCGACCATGCTAAATTGTCCCATAGTGTCCAGGGATGTTTAGGTTAGACATGGGAAATTCAGGGGTAGGGGAAACGGGTGTGGGTGGGGTGCTCTTCAGAGGGGCGCTCTTCAGAGGGGCGATGTGGACTTGTTGGGCCGAATGGCCTGTTTCCACAATGAAGGCGTTCTGTGATCTGTGATGAATATTGAGTTGGAAGAAATTTTGTCCAATTCTAGGTGTTGGACCAATGTGAAAAATTGCACGTTGTACAGGGGTCAAGAGAACCAGTGGTGAAGTAACATAATGGGGCTGAATTTTCACAATTTTTGGCAAATGTTTTTTCAACTGAGATTCATGGCACCCATTCTGCAACATCTCCTTCCCATCTTCTACTTTTCATCTCTTTTAATTATGTAACCAGTGTCTTCAGCACCTGTATCATGGAATTATGCTGGAGATGCGGGAGCATTTGCTTATGCCAGGGCTTTGCCATGTTTATGCTGCTGGTGCCTTGTTGAAACCCCAGCCCCACACCACTTCAGACATTGCCACCCAGGAACTGCACCTTGTGATGTCCTCCGCAATTATCACAAAAGAAATGGCTCAGATGGACAAGTCAACCCCTTGGTTCATTGACAGGGTCCTGGCTGGTGGAGTGGAAGGCAGTGCTTTCTCCTGTTGACTGGCAACAGGCCATTTCATTAGACTTAGCCAATCTAGATTGAGAATATTTGCTTGGGTCAGTGCTCTGTCCCACACAAAACCCAATGCATAGCAGTGCAGGAAGAAGGTTAACAATCATTTGCACTTTGCAAGGGTCGGTACCACTATTATCTTTGCTTTCAGGGCCAGTATTCACTCTAACTCTGCCAATGCACATTCATCACACCAAGTCTCATGAACTGCAACTCTCACTATTTCATGCATCCAGTCCATTCAACAGGTTCTCATCCACCTCATCCTCCAAACTTCCTGCTCTCTGTGCTTCCCAGTCAATCACTGGGAACCACCGCGCCTGCTCCTGAATCAAATGAGAAAGGCAATGGCCTGGTGGTATTATCGCTGGACTGTCAGTCCAGAGACCCAGATAAAGTTCCCAGGACCCAGGTTCAAGTCCCGTCATAGCGGATGGTGGAATTCAGTAAAATATCTGGAATTAAGAATCTAATAATGACCATGAACCCACTGTCGATTGTCAGACAAACGGATCCGATAGTCATCACCACTGCTGGCTACGAAAGGTTGCTGAGTGCAAATTAGCTGCTGTCTTTCCTGCAACAGTGAATGCTCTTCAAAAAATACTTGTTTGGATGTAAAACACTTTTGAGATATCAAATAATCATGAAAAAATGCTATATAAATACAAAATCTTTTACTAACCATGCTGTATCCCCTACATGAAGGAATCAAATGTGAAAATCAGTCTGCAAACCTCCATGTAACTTGCCACTTTACTTCCTCTGCCCTGATCTCTCATTGTCTTCCCTGTTTTCCAACCACACATTACAATTTTCTCAAATGTTACTTCATCTTTCTCAGTCATTCCATTCCTTTCACACGTGAAGCTTTTATTTTAGTAATTTAATATTTTGACAATTTCTCTTCAGCAGGTGGTGCTGGGATCCCAGAAATACATGAAAGATCAAACAGTTTGAATTATGAAGGTTCACTCATATCTCTTTAGGCCCATTTTAGTTTACATGGGATTCCGGACTCAGAGCAATATGGTCTACTCTTAATTACCCTCTAAAATGGCTACAGCAAACCACCCAATCTAATTCAAGGTGGTTCTCAAGGAATGGTCAGTAAATTTTGGTCTTGCAGGTAAACCTGTATCCTAAGGAATAAATAATAAAACAATATCAGATCAGAGAAATGGAACGTCGTCTAATATACAGAATCAGCATTAAAAAACCTCAAATTTGCAGCATTTAAGGGTAAAGTTGCACCTTTATTCAAAGAAGCACTTTACAAATAGTTTAAAATAAATAAATCACTTCTCAGAAATCCGAGACTGTTTCAGCAGGTTGTCAGCATGGAGTTCATGGATTTCAATAATCAAATGTGAAGCAGAGACAATACTTTCAAAGGATGCCAATAATGACATTTCTCTGTCAAAAACTTACCATATATACCAACAAAAAAGTAATAATTCTGAGTATATTGCTTCTAAGCATGCACACAAAACAGCAACTTTCATTGGATATGTCCAGAAAGAAAAGCGCACAGTTTCAAAGTCATTGGCATCTACAGTTCTGCAAATTAACAAATGTCCTCTGGTTTCAATGATTTAACGTTAATATTTGCTCAAAAATCAAGCAGACAAATGTCACGGGATAGATGATGAATGGAGACTAGAATCAAGCTTGAGAGTGTTAACTTGTTGGAATGGAGACTTTAAACTGTGTTTCGGAACTTTCCAAAAATGCCAGTAAATAATTTTTGAAAAAAAATGTCAAAAATCTGGCAAGCAAATTCATCAATTTGTAACATGTTAAGTTAGTCAGTCTTCACTTTCATCATTCTTTTGTTCATTCCTTGGCACTCCCTGGACTGCATTCCTCTTTAGTGTTCCAACTTTTGTATCAATACACGTGAATTGCTATCTGCTATTATTGGGACATATTTTGGACATCTACAGAAAAAGAGACTTGCACTAATACTGCAATTTTCAGTGTTCCCTTTAAGTTATTGCAGCCATGTCGAGGCTCCACACACACCGATCACTGACTTCTGGTTTCAGAAGTCATTAACCATGCATAGACCTGAGTGTGCACACCAGGAAAAAGATATTGAGGGGGTAAAATTCATGATCATGAGACACCTTGAAGCATTTAAAACCAATGAAGTACTTTTCATCTACGCTATTGTAAATAGGAATTTACTGTAGCAAACTCCCACAAAGAACACTGTGATGATAACCAGATAATGGTTATTGATTTGATTGAGTGACAAGTAATAGCTAGGACACCGGGGAAAGCTCTCCTGCTCTCCTTCAAATTAGTGCCACAGGATCTTTCACATCCACGTGAAAGGGAGACAGGGCTTCAGCCTAATATTTTGCACCTTTGACAGCTCAGTACTCCCTTAGTACTGCATTGGAGTGTCAGCTTTCATTTTTGCAATCGAGTTCCTGGAATGGGAATTAATCTCAATCTTTTGAATCAGAGGCAAGACTGGAACCTAGCAAGCTACCCCTGGCACAAGGCAAGAAAACAAACATTTAATGCTGGACAATAAGTTATTCACGTCATTGTCTAATCATCAACTCTGCAGCGTCACACAACCCAAACCAGTCTCTAAATAGCTTAAGCATGGAAGTACATGAGCAGATGTACAAGCCTCAGTTCATCAGGCAGTAGTCACATCCAAGTCAAAAAATCATGGTCACAAAAATCTAGGCTACCATGCCAGTGCAGTCTGGGGGAAGTTGAAGATGCTGGCTTTAACTGAAACATTGAGGCCTCAGGCAGATGCAAGAAGATCCCACAGTACTATTAATAAAAAGCAGCAAAATTCTCTGTTGTTTTATCTGATATTTATCCCTCAGCCAATAACCCTAAAAATCAGATTATCTACTGATTATTTTGCAGTTTGTGGGACTTTGCCCTGTTTCCCACAGAATGGCTTGTTTTGAAAGTGGTTCACTGGCTGCTAAGCTTTTTGGGATGTTGTGAGGTAACAAAAGACCACCACACATGCAAGTTATTTTGAGCTGTAATTCCTGAGACAGATCTTATCTAGCGCCACATACCCACTGTACTTCCATGAGATTCTGACACTGCTGAATGATCCATCTGTTCAGGTTTGTTATAATTTGCAATAATCACAATGTCTACTACTTGTTGCATAGTTGAAGCCAATTCTGAAGTGTTTTTTATGAGACACTCCAGGATCTACTGCTCTGTCTGGAAAGTTAACATTTCTGTGTTCCTGTGTTTTGCAAGATACTCTCATTACCCTGCTGTTGTACTAATGGTGATTCTCAGAGTTAACACTGACTACTATCGAATTATAAATTGAATGTTTGAGCAATATTGTTTGAACTTGTTGCATTGCAATGTGAAGTTTTAAAAACCTATGCAAAATAGAGTATTCACAAACAACAAAGAGAACTTAATCCACAACTAAATATAATCTGATACATCAAACAATCTAATATTTCTGATGTTTTCCATGCCAGTCAAATTTACACAACGTTGGGCTCAAAAAACAGGGGGCAATGTTTCATGTCATGCTCACATCAGCAAGTTTTAAACCAGTGTACATAAAATGTGTTCAAATTTATGAAGAGGAATTTATTATAATTTAACTAGTTTATTATTAACATTGCAATGACTAAATAAAGAAATCTAAGCACACAACCACCTGATCGCCTTACAATATGGCCCTTCCTATTCCCTGAATATAATCAGCTCCGATTTAAATCACATCAAAAACAATAACATCTCTTTTGTTATGTATATATCCTTTTATTTATTACACTCCAATGCCCAAACTAAAAGGAAAGAAAACAAAAAACTATGATGCTAGAGATCTGAAACAAATAAAAACAAACTGCTGGAGAGAACTCAGCAGGTTCTGAAGAAAGGTCGCTGAACCAAAAACGTTAACTCTGCTTTCTCTTCACAGCTGCTGCCAGACTAGAGTTTCTCCAGTAATTTGTTTTCGTTGGTTTCCAATAAGAAAACAAATTGTTCTTCATGAACTGGAATGAATTTTAAATACAGTGGCACAAAATAGTGTGTGCTGCACAAGAGAGAATGCCAAATATTTCAGTGTTACAAAAGCAATATTCTTCATCAATTAGCTCAGTATAGTCCATTACTGTCAGCAGGAATAGTTGGTCACTTGCTGAAATTTTACAGATGCAGCATATTTAGGTTCAAATGCAGAAAGAGTACAAAAATCAGTGTTTTTAATCAGTATTCTACATAGACTGTTTAACTCATTGGCTAAATATCATTAGCTGATATTAGCTGAAAGAGCTTTTCTTTGCCTTTAAGTTTTCCTTCTTTCAGTTTCTGTTGGCCACAGCTACCCAGGCAGCCTCATGGATTTCATTTTTTTTCAATAGTCATCTTTGACCAGAGATTCTTGTAATTATAAATTTATCGAAATTATAAAGTTTGAACTGGGACAAAACCTATCCATGGTAGATGGGTCACAACAATTGTGATTACAATGCATTAAGCAAATATTATACTGGCAATGTGCATATCATATAACAATTATACAAGCAGTGCAGAATATTAATCATAATCTTGTACAACATCATTATTAAAAAGAGCTCTTGTGGCATAGTAGTCATGTCCCTACTTCAGATCCAAGAGGTCCAGGTTAAAAATCCCACCAGCACCATCTTACATTTCTAAACAGGTTGATAAGAAAATATCTACAAGATCATTATTTGTAACTAGAGATAGATGGAATCATCTTTAAAGTGTCATACATCTTCACATCATTTTGCACCTTTTAAACACTACCTATTTTTCTTCTCCAAGGATGAGATGCATGCTGTAGCTGATTTCATAGTTGCAGCTGCCTTAGGTACTTAGCCATTCTTCGTATGCACAGATGGATAAAGGGCTATTTGACCACACAACCCAATTCTACCATGTCCAATGAAAGCATACACAGAGTGTCTAGATGGGAACAGAGTAGCTATCAAGAATGGGAATCGCAGGTAACTCTTTCCTCTTTTCTCTCCTTAGATACACTTCCAGAGATTATGGCACCCATTGTAGTGCTACCAATGCCACCCTTCCATACAGCTTACATTTGTACTGTTGCTATATGATGCTTGCTTGCCAGTTCAATCATTATTTTCTTAAAAACAAAAGCATACGTTTTCACTTACATAGGGACATATCCTTTCTTGCACCCCCTCAGCCAACCCTCCATGAATTCCTCTCGAATATCAGCCTCTTCTCAATGCTGACTAGCCAACGGGTGCGCATCAGACAGACTCCCCATTTGGTTTCAGCCATCTTCCAGTCAGGAACTTCTTCATTAGAGGTTCCAAGATCATGGGATCAACTCCAACACCACTTCAGTCAATCACAACGCCGTTGATGTAGAATCATAGAATCCCTACAGTATGGAAAGAGGCCATTTGGCCCATTGAGTTTGCTCCAACTCTTCCAACAGCATCCCACACAGATCCAGTCCCCCATCCCCATAACCCCACATTTACCATAGCTAACCCCCCTTTCCTGAACATCTCTGGACATTACAGAACAATATACCATGGTCAATCTACCTAACCTGCACATCTTCAGACTGTAGGAAGAAACTGGAGCACCTAGCAGAAACCCACACAGATATGGGGAGAACATGCAAACCCCATACAGTCTTTCAAAGGCTGTAACTGAAGCCAAGTCCCTGGCAATGTGAGGGATCAGTGCTAACCACCGTGCTGTTCCACTATACACTTCTGTTCTTAAGAAAATAATGACTGAAATGGCAAACATACAAAATAATCCAGCATAATACAGCAGCTGTACAAGTTGTATGGCAGGGTGGCATTGGTACCAATGGTAGCACTGCAATAGATGCCACAAGACCTTGAAGTGCACTTAAGGAGAGAAGGGGAAAGAGTCACCTGATGTGTTTGTTAGAAACAGCATAGGAAAAAAACAATCGTTAAAGTGTGAAAGTGTACCAGTTCCAAACAAGTTATTCAATACGAATGATCTATACCAGTGTTTACTCTCCATGTGAGCTTCCTTCCAAACTAATTAATCTCATCCTATAAGCATGACCTTTGATTTCTTTCAATGCAAGTGCATAATGCAAATGAGACGGCTTTAACCCTTAAATGCAGCTATGCTAGTTGCCTCAACTACTAACTGTGGCACCAAGTTCCATATTCTGACTGCCATGGGCACAGATGTTTCTCCTGAGTGACTCTCTTGCAGTTTGGAATCAACTACAAGTGGAAACAACTTTTTAACAGCTACCCATCAAACCCCTTCACAATGTTAAAGATCTCTATTAGATCACCTCTCAAATCTTCACTCTTCTGGAGAGGGGCAGTCTGTTCAGTCCTTTGTGATGGGAGCAACCTTTAGTTCAGGTATCATTACAGCGAACAGATTTTTCTTGCACTTTCTCCAGAGCCTCTCCATCCTTTTTGTAATTTGTAGACTGAAGGTAAGGGCAGGAATGCAAATATGGTCCAACCAAGGCTGTATATACGTTTAATCATTTGGAGAGATGACAAGGGACATCACAGAAGAGTCCAGAGTCTATCCTCACCATACGTGCACCTAGGGTTGGGATGTGACAGACACAGTGAGAGAGAGAGACAGAGACAGAGATAAAAAATAGACAGACAGAGAGACAGCGAGAGTAAGCAGGTGGGCGAACAAAGCTGGAAACCTTGGTTGATCAATACCCAACCCAGCCCACCTTTGGGACAGAGGCTAATTTAATACCACTTTCACTGAGGCTAGCTAATTCAACATCAACCCCAGCTTGAACCTGGGGATTTATGAGAATCAGACTAAGGAACCAAGAAGCGCAGATCAGAAAAGGCAACGTATTAAAAACACGAAGAAAAACTGGAAAAAGAACCAAATACTTTACATTATACATGAGCTTCACAGTATCTTTGAAAATCACCCCTTTTAACTGTGAATAGGAACTCACACTCAAGCATTTTGGAACCCTGAGATAAATCATAAGAACTACAGGATAGAGCTGAAAAAAATGTTTGTCTTTAGTTACTGGGACATAGCAGCACTTATCTGTGTATGGGAAAAGTTGAATCTGATGTGGTAAATCCCTGCAGAAAGATAGTTGGCAGTGACGCAATGTATGGGCACAAATTTAGTTCATTTGGGAAAGCACCATGCTGACCATAACCTCACTAATGGATATCTTCTTAGACAGAAATTTTTGTATTAAAACAGGCATCCAACAATCCTGGCAGCATCTGAACAAGAGAAATAAGTTTAGATGGGTTACTCACAAGAATCATGTGTGTTGATTAAAGTGGGTGAACATTTCGAGTTGAAGCGTACCAATGTAGCTAGATGTAAAAATCATTAAAGGATGGGTTGTGACAGTAGTCCAGACAGAAAAGTCTGCAAAACCACTTAGCTTGGTAATGAACAACAAAATCTAACAAAATAAATTTTTTCCTTCACAAATCATTGAACTTGTCATTTTACACAAAATTTACAGCAAAGTGACAGGCCATTTGTGCACACTGGTCTGTGCCCATTATTTATGCTTTGCACAGTTTTATACTTTGTGTATTAGTTTTAAGTTGGGATCTATACCCAAAGCAAATCTTAATCATTGGCACTTTTGCTTCAAGAGGCAAATTTGGCTCAGAAATGCCAATTTTCCAGCAGGTAATAGTCGATATTTACTTCAATGAGTTGGTAACTCTACAGGGAAGTATGTTTGAAGGAATGACTCAACTCTTGTAAGTTGCATACTTTGAGGGAGCTGCAGTAGTGAAAGGGATGTTCATTCAAATCAAGTGGAAGGTAAAACTGCTCATGTGAGCATCAGGTCAACCGCATTTGTTTCAGAAGCTCTTAATTTGCACTTTTAAAATGCAGTCCCTGTTGATTTCTCTGTCTACATTTCCTCAGTAATAATTCTAGACGTTTATAGGTTTTCAAAAACAGAACCAGTAGAAAATATTACCGGAACTCAGTCAAATTGGCTTTATTGACGGCTACAATTTTGAAGATTTTGCTCAAGGCTTTCAAAGTGATATTTATTTTAAATCTTTACATTTTCAGTATTATGGGAAATGTGAACATTCATTTCACATTGGTATTTTGTCCTTTTAATGAACCCAATCAGCTTAAGCCTAATTGCCTTTTGTTTTAAAGTAGTAAACAACATTTGAAGTCCTTTCCACAAGATCATTACTTCCCCTTTCATGCTATTTTGGATCACGATTACAAGTTTAGGAAAGTCAAAATGAAGAGTCACCTGGCCAACAGGGTTATTAAATGGTTAACAGCACTCGAACTCAGTAATTTGCTGAACCTCGATAAATATCAAATTATGAACCTATTCATGTGTCTACTATGAAACTAATTCATGTATTTAACAACGTCTCTGGTTCAGATAGGGAACAGTACAACATGTATCCCAACTCATCAATTTCCTCTTCTTTAAGTTCCAAAAATAGGTTGACTTTGGTATCTAAACTGCATGGCAAGAAACCCTGCTCCAAGTAGCTTATCAGCTCTTTGAGAATCATCAGGAATTTATCTGACAGAAGATCTGGTGACCAGTCTGATTCCTTTGCACAACCATGGAGGATGGTGTTTGTCAGCTGACTGGCTGTCAACTTGTTGAGAACAGGGCTGGACTTGCAGATGGCTTTCAGTATCTTCAGGCAGCAGCAGCGACAACCTCCATCCATCTCGTCCAGAGCTCGCAACTTTACGGTCTCAGCAGTTCGGAAGCTTTGCCGCCACATGTTTTCATACCGTCCATCCCGGTGCGGTTTCGCGATCAGCATGTTCTCCTCCATCACGATCAGCGGCAAGAATTCAATAAATAATTTTTTACTGGTGTCATACTGAACCTCTAAGGTCAGCATTTCGGAAGGGACCACCGGTCGAATGACAAGGTCCAGGACACCGCCTATAGCTGGCCAGTTGATTGTCCCTGATAATGCTCTGTCAAACGTCTCGTTTACAACTTTAGGTGAGAGGTAACCACCAACGATGCAGCGATCCCAGTAACTGCTGCCACGGGGGAAATATTCCATATTTTCCCTGCGGATCAGCCAGAATCCAGGGACATTCATTATGGTCTCCTCCCCTGGGATTGCAGCCCAGAGGTTCTTTTCCAGGATCAGTGGAACCATCAACTGAACATGATCTGCAGTGATCACCTAAAGAGACAAATTAAATTCAATTCCTGGTAAAATCACTGCATCTGTACTAAGACAAACATTTATTAACATGTGAATGCCATAAAATATTACTAATCAGGGTAATAAATTCTGGCAAAGGAAACCCATTTAGCTACACTTCAAAAATACCTAAGTGGCTGTAAATAGCGGAGGCTGTGATAGGTTATTTTCTAATGCAACTTCCTTCTTTCCTTTACTGTCATCATAACAGTCAGAAAATCTAGACCAGACTCAACTAATGGCCCAAGCAGGTTCTTACCGAAAGCCTAACATTGAACCAGCCTTCCACTGTGGAGTCAGGAAAACAGTTAAACCATTGCACTCCCACATCCTCATTATAAAAGTACACTCTTCCTCCTGGGGCATGCTGCTTTTTATGCTACATCATTCCATAACACAAGAAGTGGTCAAATGCTTCTAAATCTGTTCAATGCCATGCAATGGAATTAGATTAAGCTCAAACCTGTAGATCATCATACAGGCTGCCACTAAGATACATATCCCGGAGAGGCATATCAGGAAATTTGGCGTGGATGAAATTCCGAAGTTCTGTGCAAATGTCCATGGCAGCCTGCTTGGCTCGGCTCATTTCCGCACTTGGGATGACAACATGCTTACGATAATACACGAGCAGCTTATCCTGCATGGACAAGCGGAGTCGAGCTTTCTTCAAATCCATTTGGGTTTTCTTGCTAGAAGCAGCACCTTTGGAAGTACCTGTATGGAGATAAAATGGAGTAATTTCAACTGATTTCTCTAACATTGAATTTACTAGTTATACACACGTATAAACTGTATACTGTGTAAGTTAAACTGGACAGCTCATTCAGCCACGCGGCAGGCAGAGAACTGAAACAGATGGTTTTAACCCACAAGTGAGAACAAGGGAGATTCTTTAAAATGGAGATCATGTTTTAGTTTTATTGCAATGCCATAAAATGATCTTTACTCTCTTGGTCCCAGAAGGACATTACAAAGAATGGCAAAACCCCCATTAAATCTATCACTTTTCTGCAAACTGAACATTATGGCTTGACTCTATAAAATTAGTATTTATTATAACAAGAGATAACACAGTGTGGAGCTGGAGGAACACAGCAGGCCAGGCAGCAGAGGAACAAGAAAGTTGATGTTTCAGGTTGGAAATCTGAAGAAGGGTCCTGACCCAAAACATCAACTTTCCTGCTCCTCTGATGCGGCCTGGTCTGTTGTGTTCTACCAGCTCCGCACCGTGTTATCTCGGACTCCAGCATCAGCAGTTCTTACTGTCTCATTTATTTTAACAACTTGCATTTACGGTGTATACAATGCAGAAAACAACTGCAATGCACTTTACAAGACACGTGTAAGAGGAAACACTGATAGCATGGTCTGAACCAGCCTGAACAAGCGTCCAGAAAGGGAGATGAAATCGTTACAAAGGGAGCAGTGTGTATGGCAGGGATAATGTTGGGAAAAAAATTGACTTGGTATTGGATACAACAACAGGAGAGAAATATAGCACAACAAACCAGTACAATAATATACAAAATCTCTTTTTAATTTCCTTCCTTATCTCTTGAAATGATAAAGATATTTAATTAGTAAGGGAATCAAGGGTTTATGGAAATAATGCAGGAAAGTGGAGATGAGGCTCCTCAGTTATGATCTCAATGAATGGCAGAGCTGACTTGATAGAACCAGAAGTAGGCTGTTCAGCCTATGTCTTATGACCAACATGTTGTCATTCTCATGACAACGGATTATTTTGATGCTGTTCATATGATTGCACTCAAGAGATACCATTTCTCAGAGTCCTGTAGGAAAACGTTACGGCTTTATTAGAGGGAATGATGTCCACTGTATATATTATATTATATATGCCAATTATATAATGCCTCATACCAGCTGTATTCTCCCCAACAATTTACCTGCATCAAAGCTCGAGCTATCAGTTGGCAGGGTCTGAAGCGATCTGCTAACATTCATTTTCATATCTCTAGTCAATAAACGCGGAGATGACCCAATCCAGCTGGGCTCTTCCCAGCTTTGCTTCCCCGATCTCATATCCATTTTGCTGGGGCTACTTGGGGCACTGATTGCCCGGTCATACATCTGTAAGAAATAGGTTAAAATAAATAATACTGTTCACCTGCAGTCCATGCAACATATATATTATATTTCAAACTGAAGCAATGGCAAACTGGAAGCAAATATTGATCAGTGAGAACGGAGGCGACAGCAGAACGACACAAGTTAGGGCCATGGAAAAGCTCAGGTTTACCAAAGGTGCACAACTGGAAGCCAGTCTCTCCACTGGAACTTGGAAACCGAGGAAGCAGTACAGCTAACTGCTTAAAAAACATAAGGCCCTTACCCTCTTAACAGCCAATGTTGCAATGCCCAACATAGCTGCTCCCCCAACCCCTAGCACCAGCCTGGCATTTGAGAGGACAAAGTCAATGGCATTTCCAATCCCATTGTCTCCTTTCTTGTTTTTTCCTTCTCCGACACCAGCCATCTTGAACAGGGTACACCTGGAATGGAAAACAGTAATTTAAATAACATTCAATTCTACTTCAAGCAAAAAAAACAAACATTCTGAAAACAAAATAAATTTTCCAAAATTTTCATGGTGTATTTGTGGAGGAAGGAATTTTGACCAGGAACATTGTCTTTGATCTTTACTTTCTCACCTACCTAGACCATCAGAACAGGCTTAGCTTAATGTGTCAGCTAACAAGAAACATGTAGAATCCCAGAACTGCACTGGAGTGTCAGAATAGTTTTTCTAAAAACATGACATATATTCATCTGTGGAATGAGGGTTTCACTGGTATTTATAGTGCACGCCTATGCAACTGATTCTTTAAAATTCATTCGGGAGTCATGGTCGACGCTAACTGGGCCAGCATTTATTGCACATCCTTAGTTGTCCTTGAGAAAGTGGTAGTGAGCTGCCTTCTTGACCCGCTGCTGTCTGTGCTACAGATATACTCACATTGCTATTAGGGAGGCAATTTCAAGATTTTGTCCTAGCAACACTGAAGGGACAATAATGGATTTCCAAGTCAGGATAGTGAGTGGCTTAGAGGAGAATTATAGATGGTGGGGTTCCCAAGTGTCTGCTGCCCTTGCCCTTCTAGATGGAAGTGGTTGTGGGTTTGGAAGGTCTTGTCCAAAGGTCTTTGATGAACTTCTGCAGTTCATCTTGTAGATAGTACACACTGCTGCTGTTGAGCTTCGTGGTGGAGAGAGCATGTGTTTGTGGATCTGGTGCTAATCAAGTGGGTTGCTTTGTCCTGGACGAGGTCAAGCTTCTGGGAGTGATGTTTTCGAGACAAATGGGGAATATTCCATCACACTTCAGACTTGTAGATGGCAGACAGGTTTTGGGGAGCCAGGTGGTGAGTTACTCACTGCTGTATTCCTAGCCTCTGACCTGCCCTTGTGGCTGCAGCATTTATATACCAAGTCCAGTTCAGTTTCTGGACAGTGGTGACTTCAGGATTCGATAGTGGGGGATTCAGTGATGGTAACACCATTGACTATCAAGGGGCGGTGGTTAGATTGTCTCCTATTGGAGATTGTCATTGCCTGGCATTTGTGTGGCGAGAACATTATTTGCTACTTGTCAGCCCAAAAACAGATATTTCCACGTCTTGCTGCATTTGGATATGGACTGTTTCAATATGTCAGCATGGTGAATATTCTGCAATCATCAGCACAATCATTATGCCTAAACCCATTTCTAACCTTATGATGGAGGAAGGGTTATTGATGAAGCAACTGAAGGTGGTTGGGCCTACAACACCACCTGAGAAACACTCTGCAGAAAGTCCCTAGAGCAGAGATGACTGACCTCCAACAACCATAATCATTGGCTTGCTAGACTACTACAGAGTACAGAATACCTTGCTGCTGTGGGTCTAGAGTCACATATTGGCCAAACCATGTAATCGCTGCAGATTTCTTTTCTTGAAGGACCCAAATTCCCGTTGGATTTATTAGTGACTATCTCATTTAGTTCTGGTCTACCCAGCAAGTGGAAATATCCACTCTGTCAATCCTGTCAAACTTGATCATAATTTTAAAGACTTGTAACAATTGCCCCTCCGTTGTCTCTTTTACAGATAAATGAACCATTCAGTCTGTTCTGATAGACTCTCAATTATAATAGCAACTTTTGTACATATCCAGTGCCCCTCTATCCTATTCATAATATGAAGACCAGAAATGTTTGCAGTGCTCCGAGTTCGTCCAACCTAAGTTCAGTAGAGGTTTAATGCAAGATGGTGTTCCTAACTGTAGAAACTTATATCATTGTACCCAGAGATCCTTCTGTTTCCCATTTAAATGCTTATTTACCAAAGCGTGTGGCTTCCTTATTCTTCTTACCAAAATGTATCACCTTGCATCATGTTAAAATTTACTAGCTATTACAGGCACATTCTGCAAGCTTGTTAACGCGTTTCTGTATTATCTTGTAATCTTCCTCCATATTAACTATTCCCTTCAATTTCTGGTTACATCTGCAAATTTTGAAATTGTGCTCCAGAATGCAAATCACTGGTCCCAGGACTTATCTTTATGGAACACCACTTCCCATCTTTTGCCAGTAGCTGAGTAACTGCCTGTGCGCTTGCCCTATTATCCACTGCCTCACTCCATATCTTGTCACAATAAGATGAGGCACAGTTGTAAAGAGAAAGGGTTACTGGGTGGTGTGTTGGAGGGGAGGGAGTGATAATGGCCACAAATTTCTGCCTCTGATGGTTAATATTGATGAAGTCAGGTAAATCATAGAAGATCACAGAATCCTTACAGTGTGGAAACAGGCCCTTCGGCCCAACAAGTCCACACCAACCCTCAGAGCACCCACCCAAACCAATCCCCCTATAACCCAACTAATCTACACATCTGAACACTATGGTCAATTTAGCATGGCCAATCCACCTAGCCTGCACATCTTCGGACTGTGGGAGGAAACCGGAGCAGCCGGAGGAAACCCACACAGACGTAGGGAGAATGTGCAAACGCCACACAGACAGTCGCCCAAGGGTGGAACTGAATCCGGGTCCTGGGCACTGTGAGGCCGAGTTCCCAATATGGCCTCCTCTACATCGGGGAAACCAAGCGGAGGCTTGGAGACTGCTTTGTGGAACACCTACGCTCGGTTCATGACAAACGACTGCACCTCCCAGTCGCGAACCACTTCAACACCCCCTCCCACTCGTTGGGCGACATGTCCATCCTAGGCCTCCTCCAGTGCCACAACGGTGCCACCCGAAGGCTACAGGAACAGCACCTAAAATTTCACTTGGGAACCCTGCCGCCCGATGGTCTCAATGTGGACTTCACAAGCTTCATAATCTCCCCACCCCTGACCTCATCCCAAGACTAGCCCATCTCTTCCCCGCCTCCTTAACCTGTCCATGTTTTCTCCCATCTATCCGGTCCTCACACCTCACTGACCAACCCCCACCCCCACTTCCTACCTACTAACCTCATCCCCGCCTCCTTGACCTGTCCGTCTTCCCTCAACTTACCAACCCCCATCCCAACTCCCTACCTACACTCACTTTTACCAGCTCCATCCCTGCCTCCTTGACTTGTCCATCTTCCCTCCACCTATCTGCTCCTTTATCCACCTTCCATCATCGCCTCCCCTCCTCTCTATTTATTTCAGAGCCCCCTTCCCCCCACCCCAATTTCTGAAGAAGGGTCCAGACCCAAAACGTCAGCCTTCCTGCTCCTCTGATGCTGCCTGGCCTGCTGTGTTCATCCAGCTCTACACCTTGTTATCTCAGACTCCATCATCGGCAGCTCCTACTATCTCTGGGAACTTACTCCTCCTTGTTGTCTAACAACATCCTGAAATGTCGTAGATTCGATATGAATCTGTAATGATGTGGATGGTTGGTGAATCTACAAACTGTAGGAAATAACTTGCATTGATGTAGCACCATCTATAACCATGGATCTCTTAAAATACTTTACAACTGACGAAGTATTTTAGGAGTGTAGTCACTGTTTTGATACTGGAAACACGGCAGTCTCCTTGTGCACCCCAACAACATGATAATGGCCGGATCATCTGTTGGTTGACAATTAATGCTGGCCAGGCCACCAGGCAGCATAATCATATGTATGGATAAACTTAATGGTAGTTGTCTTCTCCCCAGGATGGGGTTTTCAAGACTAGGGGGCACATTTTTAAGAGGGGAGAGATTTAAAAAAGACATGAGGAGCAAATTTTTTTATACAGAAGGTAGTTCACGTGTGGAATGAACCTCCTGAGGAAGTGGTGCATGTGGGTACAATCACAACATTTAGAAGACATTTGGATAAGTACATGAATAGGAAACATTTGGAGGGATATGGGCTGGGAGGAGGCAGGTGGGACTTGTTTAGTTTAGGATTATGTGCAGCATGGACTGGTTGGTCTGAAGGGTCTGCTTCAGTGCTGTATGACTCTATGACATGAGTGAATGAAAAGAGTTTCTGATGTGAGTTTGTTCCAGATTTATTCAAATAACGAACTGCTTTTATATCCCTCAGCTGCTTACTGCTGATTATCATTAAAAACCTACCTGGTTCACTCAGGTCCCTTAGGAAAGGAAATATGCTATCCTTATGTAAACTGGTCTAAACCAGAGTCCAGATCCAAAACAAAGCATTCAAACTTGAAGAGCCCTTTGAATTGACTCAGCAAGCCACTCCAGTGGATTCAAGAAGGTAGCTCACTATCACCTTCTCATTAAATGGGAAAAGAAATGTTGGGCTTGACCATCTTCCCTGAACGAATGAAAACAAAATTGAGATATACATCTTTTGCCTTAATGTCAGTCTATAATTGAGCATTACTGTCTTGCACAAGTTACTACTTGCTTAGTCTCACATTCTATAAAACCAATTGTTATTGGACCTACATTATAGCTTCATCAGCCTGCAACTGCACTTTCAGTTGATGACGACTTTGAACCTCTAGGTCTCTAAAATTCACACCCTTCAGTGTCTATTTCCAAAAAAAAACTTAAATCCGTCTTTGCCCATATTAAATTCCATTTGGTCTAACACCCTCCTCCCCACCCATCTACATTCTTCTGAATTTTTTCATAGGCCTTCTTGCTATTTACCAACCACCCAATGTATGGTTGTAAATGTTTTTTCCACAATGACACACTCAAATCAGCACACAGTATTCTAAATTGTGATTCAATTTTTCCCCCTAGGTTTAAACTCTATGCCACTAGAGTTTATTTGATGTTCACACTGGCACTCACCATTTTTGGTGATCCAATGATTGAACAGGCGTTGAACACACATGGCATCTTTATGTTCCCATTATTAGTTTATCCCCTCAAAAATGTATTACTTCACACTCCTCCACATCAAACAGCAACAACCTGCTATCCTGCTGATCTTCTCCTGAAGTCTTTCTTCAGCCTTCATCATGCCAGGGGGGCTACATACAATAACACTTAATTGACTCAGCTCATCACAATGTTTCACTGTCTGCTTTTGATGAGATATCTTCACATTCCCTTTTCATAGTCACTGGAGAGACTGGCAAAATTTGGTCTTGAAAACCAGTAGAGGCTGAGGTCAATGGAAAACTAAATGACCAGGTGATTTTGCTTGAGGGACAAATATTGCCTAGGGCACTCCCCTCAATGAAATAATGCCATGAATACTTTTATATCCAACTGTAAATACTGACAGAGTACCACATCCATCACTCACCTCCTGATTCATCAAAGCCTGTCCAATATCTACAAGGCACAAGTCAAGAGAGTGTGATGGAATACCCTCCACTTGCCTGGATGCTTACATTTCTAACAACATAAAAAAGCTCAACACCATCCAGGCCAAAGCAGCCTGCTTAATTGGCACCATATCTGTAAACATCCACTTCCTCCATCACCAACACTCAATAGCACCATGCACTGCAGAAATTCAAAGGTGCTCAGACAGCACCTTCCAAACCTGCATCTTCTACCACCTAGAAGGCCAGGGCAGAAGATACATGGAAACACCACCACTTACAGGTTTCCCTCCAAGTCACACACTGTCCTGACTTGGAACCATATCCTTCCAGCATCACTGGGTCAAAATCCTGGTAACTCACTCCTCAACAGCACCGTGGGTGTCCCTAATTAAGTGGACAACAGTGGTTCAAGCTGGCACCTCTTGCAGGCAAGTAAGGACTGACAATAAATGCTGGCCTACTCAGTGATGCCTACACCTTGCAAATGAACAATCTAACTGAATGGTGGAACAGACTCAAGGAACTGAATGACCTATGTTGCTCCCAATAAGCTGCAGTCATGAGGCTAAGAAACAGTCAGGCATCCTGTGATTATAAAATGCCCAGCAGTCTCACTGGAAGGGGTTGTTGAGCCATTTTGTATTGGAACAACATTGCACTTGGCTCTGATGGCTGAGCAGGCTGTTGGACTATGTGGGCTTTGGGGAGGTATGACAAACTTTTCTGCACATTTACCCCACAACAAATCACCACTTCAGTCAGCAAAACAAAAACAGAAAAAAAAGTTTTTAAAAAATGTACTTCAAATAAACTACTGGAATCCAGGCATCACAAATATTATTGTAAAAAAACTTGCATTTCTTCATCACATGAAATTGTGCAAAATGTTCCATACAAAGAACTATAACACTATTTGTGGCTAATTGTTGAGACATCTTGAATTATCTTTTAGTTGGCAGGAATTATCATAAGCTTATGGATCACAAAATGCTGATCACTTCACTAAAGACAAACAATGTAAAGAGAGTGAACTGAGCCCAGGTAAATTATTAGCTCTCATTTTCATCCTAATTCAATAGAAGGCTTTCACTCGTTCCTCTCTTCAAAGTGCTGAGTCACACTGGCGTACAACTCCATTAGAGCTGATCAAAGCTCTGGGGGAAACTCATGACTGCCTTTCTTCATTAAGCCACGATTACCTCAACTACAGTCCATAAGACGTAGCAAAATTAGGCTATTTCAGCCCATCCAGTCTGTTCCACATTCAATCACGGCTGATATATTTTTCAACCTCATTCTTCTGTCTTCTTCTCGTAACTCTCGATCCTCTTACTTATCAAGAATCTCTCTTTCTCTCTGCCTGTCTTAAATAGTCAGTGACTCAGCCTCGACAGCCCTCTGTGGCAATGAGTTCCGTAGATTACCCTCTGGCTGAAGAAATTCCTCTTCATCTTAGTTATAAAGGGTCATCCCTTCACTCTGAAGCTGTGTCCTCTGGTCCTCATCTCTTCTACCAGTGGAAACATCTTCTCCATATACACACTATCCAGGCCCTTTAGTATTCTGTAGGTTTCAACGAGATCTCCCTGCCCCATCCTTCTAGACTCCGTCGAGTACAGACCTAGATTCCACAACTGCTCCTAACATGACAAGCCCTTCATCCCCCAGATCATTCTCGAACCTCATCTGGGCCCTCTCTAATGTCAGCACATCTTTCCTTAGATACAGGGTCCAAAACTGCTCACAACATTCCAAATGTGGTTGGACGAGAGCCTTATGCAGCCTCAGCAGTACATCTCTGCTCTTGTATTCTAGCCCTCTTGAAATGAATGTTAACACTGCATATGCTTTCCTAACTGCTAAATGAACTTGCACGATAACCTTAAGAGAATCCTGAACTAGGACTCCCAAGTTCCTTTGTGCTTTAGACTTCTGAAGCCTTTCCCCATTTAGAAAATAGTCAGCAAGTTCAGGGATCAAAACAAATTTTTGATTGAATAGCTTAAATGAAGGAAAGTTCTTAAAAGTTCTTTTATTTTTGTAAAATATAAAAAAAATGGCAATTCCCCACCAAACTTGTGGCGTCCCGTCCCACAAGCAGCCATCCAGTTTCAATCCTAATTACAGAGATAACGAGGTGCAGAGCTGGATGAACACAGCAGGCCAAGCAGCATCATAGGAGCAGGAAGGCTGACGTTTCAGGCCTAGACCCTTCGGGTTTTATAATGGACGTCCATGCATATTGTTATAAATTTGAAGTTTACAACATATGATGTTTTCAGACCCTCTTTATTTTGGGTCAAATGTGAAATAAGAGAGTCAAATGTGAAATCAGCCCAACAACAGGCCAGGGCAACTGAGCTGAGCAGTCTTATAGTTGCTCAAGGGCCTGTACATGCCAATCAACATGTGGATGGGCTGACTTCTAGTTAGGGTAATCCACACAGCCTCAGGAAAAAAAAATTAGAGAGAGTGTAGGGCCTGGGTTAGTGAGCTGTGAAACAATGGAAAAGGAAGGCCTAGACGGTTTTGTTGGAAAGAGATGAAAGCTATCCAGTTTTCTTTGAAAACCACAACTGAACCAGCAACCACCACATTCTCTTGCAATGGAGTTCACATCCTGTTTATTTGCTGCATTAAAAAAAATTCATGTCAGTTTTTAACATCACCAGTCTGTTGACAATCACCTTAAATTGGTGTCCTCTGGTTCTTGAGTCCAACATGCAGTTTAGCACAGACCTTTCCTTATGAACATCATACAGATTTTCTATCTGGAATTACTCAACAGTGATGAGCAAAGGGAACCCTACTGTGGCGTCTCAGTGTCGAGGATACTGTGGTTGATCATGTAACCCCTCCCACCTGCACCCAACTAAACCAAAAGTAAAACTTTCTGGTCTGCAAGACTCATTTTCACATTTGACAATCCATCTTCTAATGTGGCCCTAAAGAATGTCTAACGTAAAGATTTTAAGAAACAAAACAGTGGCAATAATTACTTTTTTTGAAAAATGACATACCTGGAAGTTTGAAACAGACGTATTTTGGCCCTAGATTAAACCAGACCTCCGAGCTTGGTCTTGAGAAAGTAGATGCCTTTCTCCAGTTGCTTAACTTTCTCTTCCTCGCTGGTAAGGTGCTGGTTCTTTCTGAACTCCCTCCTGATGAATGTGTAGTAGTAATCTCGGTCAGTGTACTGGAGATTACAGCCCTCACGCAGGAGAGCTCGGTAAAGATTCAACACTGCTACACGTGACCAGGTCGCCATGACAAGAAACATCAAGCAGGAAAACTGGCACTGCTCCCCAATTAGTGTGATGTTATTGTTGCCATAGCTGAGGGGATAAAAAAAGGAAAATTATTCTCTCACAATAGCTCAGATCAATATAATAGCATGCACAGAACAGAAACTGGCCAGTTGGCCCAAGTGGTCCATGCTGGGGTCCCCCTACCCTACTTCACCTATCAGCAAACCCTTCCATTTCTTTCTCTTGCCTACATCAAACTTCCCTTAAATGCATTCTAAGGGCTGCCCATATTTGAAAGACACAAAATGGCCAACAAGGGATAAACAGAGAAACAGTTTAATAAGACGATGGCTAAGGCTAGATACAAGTTCATTAAACCACGACAAATGATTGATTCCAGCCCCATTTATGAAAGGATATTGTCCCATTAGGTGAACAGCGTCAGTTGAAACAAGAGGTGTAAATCTCAGTGCATGAGACAGTCAGCCTAACTTACTGTACAGCGGTGAAAACAACAACTCAAGCTATTTTGTAGTAATCAGTTGTTTCTTTGAAGTTATTCACAATATTAAGAAATAGGTTCTAGTTAAAGATTCTTCAGATAATCACAGAGATAGATTTCAACGTAATAATAGATATACAGAGGTAACCAAAGTATAATAGAAGCATTAGGGAAAACATTCAAATATAGATGTGAAAGTTAATTAGTCTCAGGAAATACTTTCTTTATCTCTAAAAAGATGCCTGGCAGATTTTGTATGAAATAGATCTTTTAACTAATGAGTTGTGAAGAGTGCTAACAGTAGAAGTAGCTGTAAAACTTTACATAAGTAACTTCATGACAGAAATTAATATTACAAATCTTATAGCGGTTAGTTAGAACCAATGGTTGTTTGCTTTTTTTTAAATATACATATAATTGGGGCAGTGGAAAATATAAGAGGAATAACAGAATTTGACAGAGATAGCACATGGAATACAATGAATAACAGAATTCAAGAAGGCCTCAGAGACAAGAAAGTTTGGGACCAGTCCAAAAGAATATAACTAGTAACTTTAGAATGCGAATTAATAGGATGCATAGAAAGATCCCAAGGCCTGGAGATTACAATGTCCATTAAACACCATGAGTTCACAGAAACCTGGGGGCGCTGTCCATAGGGGTGCCCATCATTGATTAGGTCTTTCACAGGATTGGATGTATAGAATAAGGGGAAGGGCACAATGATCACGTTCTATGTGATTACTGTAACACAAAATGTATAAAAATGCTGTATTTCACCGTAAAAATTACAATGTATCATTGATCTTTTCCAATCTGAGCCAAAGATTAAGAGAACAACTGAGTTCTCACGTCAAGACCAGATTTGAGGGAGTCTTTGTCCCTTTCCCTGCATGGAGCGGTCATTGCTTGAATGAAGACTGCCACTTGCCTGAATCCTGCCTGTCTCCTGAGTCTTTGTCCACAGTCGGAGGGTTTTGCTCCTACATGTATCTCTCCAATTCACCCTCAAGGACAGTGTGTGGTAGCAAGTTCCACACTCTAACCATTCTCAAAAAAGTTTCCCTTTTATGTCTTATTGGTGATTACCATAAGTTTATGTCCTCTGGGGTTGGGAATTGCCCACAAGTGGAAACATCTTTCCTATATTTACCTTGAAAAATTCCTTCCTACCTCCAGCAGGTCATTACCCAGCATACTCTTTTCTAAAATAGAGAGCTGCAGCATGTTCAGCCCTTTCTGAAAGTTATAAGCTCTCCATTCTGGTATCATCACAGGAAATCTTTACCCACACCTCTATTTTTTTTGTAATATTTAGACAAGTTTGAAAACAATTTTCATTGTTAGCACATTTCAGTTGGGTATACTGGTATTCCACAATAAAGCACTATTTGTACAGCAAACAACTAGCAAAAGAACCAGAGGAGATAAAATGTATTTATTCCGATATGGAATTAATTGCTTGAAAGTATACGGAATTAGCACTTCTCAAAATCTTTACAGTCAACATCCTGTAGGGATATCAATATTGTCAAATGTAGTTTTTGGTAGTACAGAACTTAAGTACTAGAGTGCATAATTTTAAGGAAAGAGGAGACAGATTTAAAAAGGGACCTGAGGGGCAACATTTCCACCCAGAAGGCAGTTCATATGTGAAATGAACTGCCAGAGGAAGTGGCAAGTACAGTTACAACATTTAAAAGACATTTGAACAGGTGTGAATAGAAAAGGTTTAGAGGGATATGGGCCAAACCCAGGCAATTGGGACTAGGTTAGTTCAGGAAACTTGGTCGGCATGGAAAAGTTGGACCGAAAGGTCCGTCTCTGTGCTATATAACTCTATGTCTTTATAGTGAAAGCAGATTCAAAAATAACTTTCAAAAGAGAATTGTAAAAATACTCAGAAGGGAAAAGGAATTGCAGAGGAGTGAAATTAATTGGATCGCTTTCTTCAAAGCAAAGCAGATACAGCTGGCTCCTTATGCACAGTTATCATTCTGTAATGATATGAAATTTAACAGATTTCCAGCCATGCAAATTTTTTTTCTCTCAGCTTTGGTGGTCATGCGAGACAACATGTTCACTCTACACCAGGCTGGGCAACAACTGGCTGCAGGTTGATCACATGGCAATAAGATCAGTAATCTGAGATTACTTTCACATGTACAAAGTATACTGGCACCAGTGCTAAGGTACAATTCTTAGAGTCCTCTTGTGGCACAATGATAATGCCCCTACCCCTGTACAAGAGGCCGGTTCAAGTCCCACCTGTCCCCGAAGTGTGTAATAACATCTCTAAACAGGCCCATTAGAAAAGTAGATTAAATTTTAAAAAAGTTGAAAATTTAATACAATTCTTGCACAACAGTCCCACTTACAATGATTTGTCGGCAGTATCCACAGTATCGGAACACCTCTCACTTTGGAAAAAAGAGCAAATAAAATTGCAAATAATGGAGATACACTACATTTTCGTTAGCGCTGGTGAAAGAAACGTAAATCAGCAAAACAGAAGCACGGAAACTAAGAACAGGAGTCAGACATCTGCCCTTTGGGCCAGCTCCATCATTCAATATGAATGATAGAGGCTAATCCTCTATCTCATTGCCATAATCCTGCTTTCTCCCCATATCTCAGCCTAAAAATGTATCAATCTTTTTCTTGAATGCATACAATAACTTGATCTCCACAGCTTTCTGTGGTAGAAAATCCCCAGTTTCAGTACCCTTCAAGTGAGAATAGATTTCCTCATCTGTCCTAAATGGCCTACCCCGTATCGTGAGACCATGACCCCTTGTTCTAGATTAAGTGAGGGATAAGCTTAAGGACAGAACAAGATGTGATCGGGGGAAAAGAAGAGAAAACAGGGCATAATCCCATTTGCACACATTTTCACATCTCTGATGCTTCAATACCAATTAAATCAAGTCAGTACAGATGCCTTCAACAAAATCTCATCTTTCTTTTACACAGTCTGTGGCCTTTAAACTGAAATAGTTAAGGTAGCTTCACGCTATTGCTTGTGCTTTCAGAAACAAAACCTGCTTGGTAGATTTCTCTATCAGATGGCAGGGATGTTTCAGTAATAGAAGTTTCCTGCATCATCTTACCTCTGCAGCTCCAGATCTCTAACTCTATTAGTTTTCCTCTAGGACAATCTCCGTGTTGCCCTTACTTACCATACGTATTTTACTTTTAACACTACTATCCATTTATATACTGTTCAATATATTCAACCACAGGCAGACATATAAAAGTCCTGCAAATTTAGCAGAAGATTGATGATTCGAGGCATGTCTGCAAATGCACAGCAGCTCTAAAAAAAACCTGCATGCCTAAACATGACTCATAACTTTTGACCTTGGTCCAGAAAGAGTTTAGCTTCACAGAACGAAAAAAAGTACTCGCCCTTTCACTTTAGGGGTTAACTGACCGACTGGCTGCGGACATTCCAGCCTTTTCAGAGTCACAAATATTTCAAACATGAGATGTTCCTTAAGTCAACCTCTGCACTGACAAGACCCCTCCACTTATTCCTCTGCATTTTGATGTGTGTCAATGTGAGCTTGGCAAAATTAAACCAGGAATAGGAATAGGAATCAAAATTTTAACTAAATGGACGAAAGATGATGAAAGGGATGGAACTTCATTAACGATGAACAGGTAATTTTTAATCATAATTATGAAAGTTGACCAGAATGCGGCCCTCAAGCACAGGATGTCCCACCCTCCCAGACCGATGATTGGTCCTTGGTTCTGCAGCGCGTTTCCCGATTGGTCTTAGCTCTTGTCATTCATCTGCCCAGCGTGCCAATGAAATCAACGGCGAAGGAAATTCCTCATTTCTTAGCCGCTCCGTGTTTTATAAAGAGCGTCCAGCCGATACCAAGCGGCCTGATCGTATTCCGGTGCCTGAACTGCAAAACAGGAACAGATAAAATGAACATTTTATCTTTTACCTTTCGGCCCTCGCCCGCTCCCAGCTTCCGCGGGCGGACGGTCAATATGGCGTTCACTCACACCCCACAATTACTTCCGGGTCACGTCTTACGTCATAGGGAGGCACACGCAGGGGGCGTGGTCAAGCCTTGCTGTCAATCAAACAGGAGGCACAGCTTCCAATGGAAGTAGCTCTCTGCAGCCACCCCACAATGGGCTCTCCGTGGCTACCTGCATTCTCTCTTTTCTCGGGGAGGCGGTACACAGGATCACTCCGTGCTAACACAAAACAAAGAACTGCAGATTGGAAACAGTAAGGATTGCAGATTCTGGAAGCTAGAGTCAATGAACGTGGAGCTGGAGAAGCACAGCTGGTCAGACAGCATCCAAGGAGCAGGAAAGTCAACATTTCGGGCTAAAACCCTTCATCAAGACTGGAGAAGGGGAGTGGGCAGAAGCCCAGAAATAAATAGGGGGTCGTTGGGCTGGGGGGAGAGTAGGTGAGATGGTGTTAGGTGGATGCAGGTAGGATGTCATTGTGGTTAGTCAGTGGGAAGGCTGGAGCGGATAGTTGAGTCAGAAGATGGACAG